TATGGGAGCAACCACTGTGCAGTGATGGCTATATGTTCCCCAATTCTCGTCCGATTCTCAAGCGGAGTACCTTAAACGATTTCGGGATCGATTCGCCACCATTCTGCATCAAAATCCCGAGACAAAATATTTTTTAGATTTTTTGTCCATTTTTTTTTATGGAATCCCTTGAAAATGGGGTTTTCCCCTATAGAGTCCACAGTGATGGCTATATCTTTCCCAATTCTCGTCCGATCTTTTTCCGCCTTTTTCAAGAGGCTTATGAGATTTCCTAATTAAAGCGTCAAAAGCTAAGCGAATTTCAAATAATTTCGCGCACAAGACAAGTGCCACATAAATATTAGAGACACACGGGCAACGCCGAAAATCTCAGCACTTTGTGACAGGCTAATTATGCGTGCCAATGATTTATAAATATTTTATAATGACTGTGCGACCCTGACTTCGAATTTGGTTATTCGTGGCATTAAATAAAATGAATGGGTAGGTGCAGGTGCATGCCTGCAGTTGCCTGGCCCACGAGTGCTCCCCCTTGTGTGCAATTCGGCTTTTCAGCGCTTCATTTTTGGTCGAGTTTGTGTTAAACTGTATGTTTTGCGCATTCCTGATTGCATTGCGGTTTTATGACTTCATTATTGCTAATTATACGACAGTATGCCAGGCTCTACTTCCAGCCACAATGAAATTTCCATGCCTTAATTCTGTTATGAGGGGTATATTAGTGGAATTCTTTTAAAATTTGTGAATTCCACGATGAATTTATATAAATATGCGATTCTGTACTAATTCCATCAATTTATGCTTGGCTGTCTAAGCAATCATTAAATGGCTCAACACCAAAATTATAATGCATAAAAGTTAACAAATTTCATGGCAAGCCTATGACACTTAAATGAATGCCAACCACTCAACCATCAGCATTAAATTCATTTCACATGCGCGGCTACAGACAGACAATGAATTCATTCAGGACCCACACCCAGCAGATTTCTTCTTCCACAGCTTGGATTTTGATTTGAAAATTGTAAATGCGGTCACGTATGTTATTATATCAAATATCTTTCATGGTTATGTTTATATGTTGGCTTTGTTACGAGCATCTTCTATATTGGCTGCTTTCCCTTTCTCTGTCAACAAATTAGCTTTTGTGTTTGCAAAGTCACACAAAGAACACAGTCTGGTTCATAAATCGAATATCCAATTTTCCCAAATAATTCGTAGAAGGTTAATATTTAATACTACAACTTTTGGTGGAGTTTTGACTTTTTTAATCAGATCTATACTTTTTACCTCCACCTTTCCTTAAACACCACCTAAGCACTTTTCTTTAATTTTCTTTTTGGTCTGGTACATTTAATTTTAAATATAAACAACCCCCAGCCGATGGGGGATTGGGTCCCCCATAGTAAGTAGTGCAATCGCCAGACAACAACGGAAAGGGATAAAAAAATAATCCCCAGCCTCGAACCAACACTTTGAACTGCACTTCCCTTCATTTTTGTTTGCCAGAGACCGTTCAGCCTCTCGGCAGAAAAAAAAAACGAAAAATAAGCTTAAATAAAAATGATTTCATTACCTTGATTAGTTGGTCTCTTCAAATGTTCAAATGTTCCCTTTTGCCAGCTTGTTTGCCTCACTTTTCTGCACAAACATTTTGAAATCCCGCGATGCCCTTAGAATAGCATCAGGTGCGGAGGATGATGAGGCGGGCTATGGTTGGCTAGGACAGGACTTGATATTGAAGTAACATAGCTTTGCATTCGCCATTTTTTGGGTTCAATGCAAACATTAACCTCATTACCTTTTTATGCTGAACGAACACTGCACTGAAATTAAATTCCACTTACATTTTAATGGTTTAAATTTAACTTATTGTATTTTTGGATTAAATGGTTTGTTTAAATTCCTCTGAGAAATAGTTATTAGAAGGATAGTTTAATTTATAGGTTTTTTTATGGCAGTTGCCATATTTAAAGAAATTCATACTTACTCTTAACGACGTGTGAAAGAAGTTTTTAGAATTGTTTGTAATTGTTTCTTGAATAAGTATACACCTTAAACAAGACAAGTAAATTAATTTGAATAATTAAATTCATTATGAAATAGTTTCGTTATGCCAAGAACTTGCGCTCGCTAATGAATTTTTTCTGTAAAATTCTTTTCACAAGAAAGTCTTGGTGGAATGTAACTAATATCTTCCTAACAAGTCTACTTGAAGCTTCACAACTCTCCTTATTATTTCCACAATTTATGCGATTTTTAAGACTTCCTCTCACCTGTGAAGTTTGTCGAAGAAGGCCACTTTCTTTCCACCAACTTTGCTTCCGAGAAGTGCGAAAAGCAGCTTAATTAAGCATAATAGACGCTCTGGCTGCAGCTTCTCGACCAGTTTCGACCTTTTTTTACTACCGTCTAAGTAGCTGTTGGTAATTTGTGCTTAGCCGCACTACAGACCAACACTTTGGGGAGGTGATGTGGACCTTGCACCGTTTTAATTGCATTTCCTCTGTTTTTGATGCCTTTTGAATTTATAATGCCATTGGTTTGCCGTCGCTTCCCAACACTTTTTGCTATTTTTCCATGGCACGTTTCTAGCAAAAAAATAATTCAATTAATTCCAAGCGGACAGGTGTAAGGCAGCTACACTTAATATTAATCATACGCCCTGTGAGCACAGAAAAAAAGGCAGTAGGAAGCGTAACCGTAAAAAAAGCATGGTCCCTCGCTGACTAGCATTCGTATCTAATAAACATGTTTATTTCATTAGAGCTACACATGCGGCTACTCCACTCGACTCCTGTCCTCCTCTCCTTCGAAAACGACACCCCAAGGGACATCATTTGCTCGAGACCCAACGATTTCGACATGAAAAATGCGTTCGCGAAAAGTTGCCACGATTCTGCTCGCTCTTTATGATTGGGGATTTTTCGTGGAACCACTAATGTGCCATAGCAGCCTCGATTTGGTTTTTTCATCCGCAACTCATGGTTGGCTTTTGCCACCGAGCGTGGGCTCTCGACATCATTACAAATAAATTGTGCGTGAAAGATACATTTCGCCAGATCCGACACGGTGCAATGATAGGCATGTTTTGGGGCTGAAACTTCGAGATGTTGTAGATATTCAAAGGTAGGGAAAGTAGGTTTCCTTTGGCTTTAAAGTCAAGGTACAGATACTAGGATGTAGTTTGATAAGTAGGGTGCCGTTTTTCTGGGGCGAAATATCAGATTAATCAGAGGAAATCTTTAAAAATGTCTTTAACTTAGGGTTTATCTAGATATTATAGATAAGAAATTCAGGCTATATGACAGTTTAATTACCATTTTATCAGTTTATTTAAGAAAATGAATGGATCTACCCTTACCCATTTAAATATCCTGAAAACGGTTCTGCTTGTCTGACAAATTCCATTTATCTGTCATCACTCTAGCCGCACTTAGCCATGTATCTCAGCAAACTTGCATACAATCCCAACTTTAAACTACCGACACACCGTCCAAACGAAGTTCCTCGGACAACAACCGAGTGCGTGGCCAAAACTTGCTCCTCTCAGGTTGTTTCTGATCCTGATAGTATACACTTCATGCCTGTGTCACATTTCCGCTTACTTGAAATTATTAATAACCGAAATTTGGAGAGACGGCAGCCATGGCTTTGGGTTTGTCGGCTGTGTGCGGATGCTCGGAGAATCTTGTCAGCAATTCAATTAGTGGACGGTTGCATTTATCTTATTTAAATGCAGCATACTTTCAAACTAGTACAGACAGTTTGGGTTTTGAGTCGGTGAGTGAGTCTCTGCGTGAATCGGGGGACGAGATTGCGGGGGCGTCGTTATGACGACAACAACGATAACGACAACGTCACGCCAACAACTCGAAGGGAACTCGGGACTTATGCAGTGACGCAACCAATTATGGCTTAGGGCCAACTGTAACTGCACCGTCTCGCCGCCTTCTTTCCAACAAACTTTGCTCTGCACGAGTGTCTGTTGTGGTCGACTGTGTCTGCTTTGAGTCTGCCATCCAAGCCAACATTCTCCACAAGTCATTGCCTTAAAAACTGTGTCAGTCCAGAGTTCATATGACACGTAAAATTTGATTTTGTCGCCTGTGCGAGTGGCTCAAAATTTCCCAACTAAAAAGTCAAGGAATATTGTAGGGGATTTTGTTTAAAAGTTTTCTAATTCAATAAGATTAATAGAGTTTGAGGACATTGAGAGTGCGAAACTGGTGGCTAAATATAAATTCATTTATTATTTTGTAGAAAAATATGTTTCATAGGCTTTCTTCGCAAATTGTTGGAATTTTAAAGTGGCTAAAAATTAAACTATTTTTAAGACATTTTTTGTGGAATTGTTTAAGCCACATTGAAATCCTAACATGGAGTTATTAAAAAATGCAATCAAATAAATAAAAACCGGGTATAGATTGCGAAAAAATCAACATTTTTTTATTCAATATAATTTTATATACATATTTTTTTTGTTTAGCACTTTAAATAGTTGAAAAATTATATCTCACATAGGCCGCAAATATTAAACTGAACACAACGGATTTCAAAGGTTTAATGTGAAAAAATATTGACAAACAAAAAACTTACAAAAAAATGTACTTATATTAAGTACAAAATAAACCTTAATTCAAATTTCCAATTGGGCTAAAGCTAAAGAGAAGGCATTGCAGTAACATTAAATTGTGGAAACTTTCTCATCGGGCATGAGTTAATTAAGTAAATGGGCTTTGTAAGGACGTTGGCTCAGGTTTTCGTGTTTTACTTTTCCGATTCCTTTACTTTATTTTAGCTTACTTACTTACTTATCTGATTTGTTTGTGGCTGGCAGGGGAACAGAGTCCTGTCCTTCGTATCGAATTGTGCGTGAGCTGCCAAGAAATTAGGGACTTTCATCGAACCATTGAAGTGTGGGTGACTTTTCAATCGAGTATCCTGTATTTCGGTTTCACACAATTTAATTATTTTAAATTGATTATCCCAAGTAGGTAGCTTGTCAGCTGTCACAACCACTACGGACTCACTCCTACATTTACATTCTCTCAAGTATCTACAAAAATTGTATATTTTTTCATATCGATTCGCATTGGTGAGAACCCGGAGACCGGACGGGTCAAGAGTGCAGTCGCCAAAAACCGACGTAGTGGGGCCTTTTGAATCTCATAGGTATTAAGGTGAGTTTCAGTGTAATTCCGAAACTGATTGACATGCTTGCTGGTGTCGAAATTAACCAATTTCACGATTTATTGATTAAAATCCACAACGCGGTCCCTGAATATGACATTCATCCAGTAAATTAAATTCGTGGCCGGCGAAAGTGAAATGTAACGACATTCGATTGCCGCACACAATTTGTTATAAATGTAAACAACATTTTAAATATTTACGAATCGGAATGGTCTGGCCAGGGTGCCGTCGACCGACGCGTCACTGGCCCACATGGCGTATGAAATATGCGCCACACTGGCCACAGGTAAAATTGTCACGTTTTTAATTAAACTTACGTCCAGCGACCAAATAGCCACAAATAATTGTCGAACAACACAGGAAAACAAATTATTATTGTTTTTAAATTTGAAGTTTCTTAGTAATGTTATCTTCAGATATATTATATTTTTAGCATATTGTATTGAATTATCTTCTAGTTTTCTATTTATCTTATTTTAAAGTTTCATGTAAGGTATCATATTAGTCTGATACTATTATAATTTTTTGGCTTCTAATGTCAATAGTCAAATTAATATTAAACTAAAGGGGTCTTTCTTGAAATTTTAAATAAATCAAAGTCAATGGGTAGAAAATAATTACTTTTTCAAATCAACCAAATCAATTGGAATAATTTAATGTGGTTTGAATTTGGTAAACTACTTCCGCTGAGGGAAAATTTAAGCCATCCTCTAACCTTACTTTTCAAGTAGTTATTTGTTTCTATTGATAGGTACATTTTGTGCCTTTCTTCCATTGAAAGTTTGAAACTTACGTGTCACGCAATATTAAAGAAAGAAACCAGCAGCTGAGATTTTTCCCACGAACCACTAAATTAAGGCGCCAAGTCTTGTAATTCAGAGCATTTGGAAATCAATTTTGGGCGATACATTTCTAAACAAAGAAAAGTAAAAAGATGTCCTAGTTTTAAAAACCATTTCCACGTTAGTAGAAATACTAATTAAGCTAGACGATTTTAAAGACTTATTTCCAGTCTTAAATTAGAAAACCAGACGGAAAATAATCCGAACACGCAAACTACACACCCTGGAACACCACACTTACCACATCTTATTTAGAGGCTCGTTAAAAAAACCTTCTTAATTGTTTTTACTGGCCCTGTTTTAAATTTGGCAGCCAAGATGATGGTTAATGCGATAGACTGTTTAACGAGGTACAAACTCATTTTATTGTGTCTGCCAGCCCGTAATCGCCTAAAAGCCAAAGACGATAAGTTCTTTTATGACACTATACGTGGGCTGTGCATGTGTGATATTTTTTGGCGTGTGGGCTGACCCTCATTAGAGGAAGTAGGGCCACCCATTAGCCGGGGAAAGAGAAATCAGGGATACTCGACAATAAACCGCCCGCAGCGCCACCCATCATAGAAAGGTGTGTGTGTGCGGCTGGGTGTGCGTCGTATGGGTTTAATTGCCTTTTGGCTTCGCCATAGTTTGTTGGCCATTCTCGTTGTTTTAGTAATTGTTTGTCATTAGTTAAAATGTTTTCATTTTGCCAGAATTGAATTCGAGCTGTCCAATACACTGAAAGTAGCGTTTGAACACAAATATTTTTCCTTCTAGCAATCCATGTAATAACTTTCATCACAAACATAACGTACATCGAACGACAGTCTACAACTTTCCAAACACATCAGGTCGCTCACAGAACTATATAGAATTCTGCATAGAATTTATCGTCACCACTGTATCCCACAGATATCTTAGAATGGCCTTCGTAGCGCGTCGTAGGAGCGATGGAAAGGTTGTAGACCGTCAGGCAGTATCCTGGAAGAGCACCATGCCCATTTCGGACATCAGCGACGAGGATGACACTGGATCAATGCTGGGCTACACCAATCGCACTTTAGGAGCTCCCGAAACCGTCAGGTTTGTAGGTGACGGTGGCGATGCCGATGAAGCTTCGGAGCAAGAGTCGCCAAAGAAAGCCGAATCTGATTCTAAGGTCAAGTCGATCAAGGCCAAGGACATGGTGACCGAACTAAAATTCCAGGAAGATTGCGGCGATGTATCTGGCAGCGACGTAGAGTCTATCATGAGCTTCTGCCAGCAACTAGATGAGGAGGAAGCCAGTGATATGATGTACAAGCTAATGGGCCAACAGGATGAAGATAATTTGGGGGATCAGCAGGACCTGGAGGATCTAGACGACACGGACAAGGAGAGCGACATAATGACAATGATGGGCAAGCCAGAAGACATAGCGGAAATCACCGATACAGAGACCATGATGAACGCCAATGACGATTCGATGAGCTTGTCCTCTTTTGACAGCTATGCGCCCACAGTGACCGGGAGCATCGGAGGGGATGACAATCTGGACAACCTTAGCGGCAGGACCTACTTCACGCCGAGCATCCGCGAAGAGACCACGACCCTCGGTGGGGATGACAATCTGGACAACCTTAGTGGCAGGACCTACTTTACGCCGAGCATCTGCGAAGAAACCAGGACCCTCGGTGGGGATGACAATTTGGACAACATTAGTGGCAGGACCTATTTTACGCCGAGTATCCGCGAAGAAACCAGGACACTCGGAGGGGATGACAATTTGGACAATCTCAGTGGCAGCACCTTCTTTAAGCCAACCATCCGCGAAGAGACTAAGAGTATTTCTCAACTTGATGCCATAAGTGAAGCCAGCCAGGGACAAATTTCTAGCCGCACCTTCAGCATGAGCACTCGGGGCAGCCACCGCATCCTCGATGACTCTTCAGTGTCCACCTGCAGCTGGACAGACATGTATGGCGAGGCCCTACAGCCCTCTGACAATCGCAGCAACGTGGTGCCCTCTTTGAGTCTGGCCAGCGCTAGCTCGGACACATCCACATTTTACAAAAACCTGGAGGAGGTTAAGGAGCGGCATGGCCAGGCGGCCTACGAGGACTGGAAGGCCAGGAAGGAGGCCCAGAAGCAGCAGAAGATCCTGGCCGCAAAGCGGGAGCGTGAGAAGCGTGAGGCGGAGACGGCTCTTCGCCAGAAACTAGCCCAGGAACGATTCCAAGAGTGGTGCCGTCGCAAGGAGCAACAACAGCAGAAGGAACAGAAGGCGCCGGCCCGTAAATTGGCGCCAAATAGCGCCAACTTAAGCCAATCGAGCTCTGGCAACTCGTCGGCCACCAGCTCCATCTCCGGAAAAGGATTGGGATCATTAAAATTGGCCGGACCCGCACGACAAGTAGCACCGGAAGTCACCAAGTCACGGCTCAAGGAATGGGAGCGTCTCAAGTTGGAGCAACAGCAGCGGGAACGGGAACGGCTGCGGAAGAAGCAGGAGTTCAAGAAAAAGCAAGAGGATGAGCGGAAGATGCGATCGCAGGGCGCCTGGAACAATTGGATGAAACAGGTGGACAGGCGGGCCAAGCCCGTTCCACTCAATCAAGGATTCGACACTTTGCGCGGCACAATCTCAAACATTTACATCAATCCTGTCCAGTGGGTCTCAAACATTGATACCCCTAAGACCGGTCGCAGTCATTAGTATATTTCAAAGGTCCATAATTCTTATATTCTTTAATTCTTTCATCGATCTTTTAAGCTAAAAACTAAAAAATCTCCCAAAAAACCGTTTGTTGAGGCAAAGCCCCTAGTTTGAAGTGCCTAGGTACTATTGTACTGAGAAATACCTGGGTTGCTGGGCCAGCCTATGAATTTTAAAATTTTGAAAAATAATGTTTATTGGATAACGGCGGTATTGTCTGCAAAGATTTGTCTCTACCAATAAACTAAAAAATATGGAACATTATCCTTTTTCGGAGGTTATTAATGGGGTGTCCTAAAACCTTGGCTATCCTGTTCCATGCAAGGAATGCGTTATTATTTTGTCCATGTGTTCCAATAAACGGAAACGATTTCATTTAATTCGTTTGTCTAAGGACACAATACATCTTTGTGTCTCATTTGTTGCCGGTTCCTTGTGAACCATTGGTGCCCCACCATCCGTTCTATCCTGGGTTGCCGCCACCCGTCGTCGTCCTCGCACCAGCGTGCGTTTGTGTCAATTTGTGTTTTTATTATTTATTTGCCGAGTCCATGGGGAGCCGGCAGGTGGTGGAGCAGGCTTAATTAAGCTTCTACCCTCCCCGGTCATCAGACTTTTATTTATGCAATTAACCAAAGCCTCATGTAATAAAGTCCCGTAGCGTAAAATCTTTGATTAATTGTAGTTTTGTTTACACGTTGAGAGCTAGTCAGACATGATTATGTGGGTTATCTGGAAGCGTCCAAAGGAGTCCTTGGAACGGAGCGTATATGTCCGAGAAGGGACTATTTCTGAGGTGATTAGTGCTCTAGTTGGTCAGCAATTTGTTTACACGTTTGTGGGCTCGCTTAATCGCTTTTGGGCCCATAGTCATTAGCATTATCATTATCTGGTTGGGTTCTGATAATGGTTTTACCTTCAAATGTGGGATTGAGATTTTTTTCCAAGCTAATTTTGTGCTTGTGTTTCGTGTAAATTGATAAACATAAATAGGAGTCGTTTATGGCCAATCAATTGTCTCTCCAATAACCAACGTTTTTTCAACAAGTTTGTGGGCTTAGATCTTTGTAATAGAGCTTATTAAAATAGGAAAATATCAAATTTCTGCTGGCTATAAAATAAAACAAATGCTAATGCGGAGAAACATTTTCGTAGTGCCCTGAAAGTATTTAAAATAATTTGCAAACCGTTTAAATAAATATTAATAGTTTACACACAATCGCACGAATAACGAAACAATTATTCTGAAATAACATTCAAAAGCTAGATTAGCACAGTTTTGTTAGCCCCGTCGAAATGCAAATCAACGCTGTAAAAAGAATGTCGGATGAAAGCGAAAGCTGGCCAATAATTATAATAAATAACCACAAAATCGGGGGAAAAAAATATTCAAAATGAAATTTCGCAGGCCAGTCACCGCGCAGCTCAGTATGAAAGTAAATTAATAATAAATCTCAAAATGCTCATTAACTTAATTACTGTGTTTATTTTCATTGCCCTTCCTGTTCGACATTTTGTCCCCTTTTCACCACCATTTCCAGGCCATTCTCCGGTGGGTTCCTTTGTGCGTTGAAATGTGTTTTTTTTTTCGGTGCGTCACGCAATTTTTTGGGGATCCGTCAGTCTTACGGAACAACCACCCACACCCACCCATCTAACCCAGGGCTTTGATAAACAACTCAGCGCCAAAAAAATAGCCTCAAAACATGAAGAAATTGCGCGTCTTTAACCTTAATGTATATTTAAGTAATGTTAATTGTGTTCAGAATCGCCATTTGCAGTTGTTACCTTCGAGTTCTTTGCCGAAATTATCGTAATTATGTTAATATATAAATTTTGCTTTTGGTAGCGTATCAGAAAATTTGTTATGCAATTGCTGGAAATTTAATGTCAATTTATAAAAATCTTTTTCAATTTGTTGGGGTATGAAATTACAATTAATACGCTGCCGATTAATTACTGTGGGTAAACTGAACAAAATGTGTATAAAAAGTAAGTAAGTTTAAAGTATTTTTCCAAACTGACTGCAAAGATGACCTTCTTAACCATTATTTACTTGAATCAAAGGTCAATCCAATCTCCGATCTGGTGTAAACGCATTTTTACAAACTTCCAGCACTCGGATTTATATGCATATTATGTAAATAGAGTATGTGTGTCAGATCTAGCCCACAGGTCATGGCACTCCGGTACTCCGGCTGGGCACTTGGGCACTCAGACTGGGGAAATACTAGGTGCTGGTGCTGGCGAGAGAAAAAATCCATGAAAATGCACTAAAAAATGAGCAAACAAGCAGCTCACGTAAGCCGAGTGGTGCTGCGGTGGCACCTGTTTTGGCATGTCTGAAAATTCCTGGAAACAAATGTAATAAAAACTACTCGTAACTCATACAAACACACAGACACATACTCACACACTGGCACACGGGGAGCCACACTACACTCATGCAGACTTGGTCGAAATGGTTAGGGCTTTTTATTAGCCAAAGCTTTTTAAAGAGTTTCCCGAGTTGTGTTTTCTAATTTTGGCTTTGCTTTGTTGGTTCGGTTCGGTTCGGTTTGGTTTGGTTTTGCGTGTTGGCCCGCACTTAAAGTTTCCTTAATGAAAGTAATTTTTTTTTATTTCAAATTTGTTGCCGCTTTTAATTTGATTTTTTAGTGTCCAGTTTGGTATATTTCTAATTCATGCAAGCCCTTTGTGGCCATTTGATAGTTGCCCAAAACCACTCAAGTCCAAAACTAACAATGAACAGTTTTTCAATATGTATATCATATTCCCAGTTAAAAAATTGCATGTTAATATCAATTTTTTTATTTATTTTATAATTACATTTATATATTACATATTTATATATACTATATAGGTATTTAATGGTATATTTATGCTCATAATAATAGCAATAGGTATAACTTTACCTATACATTTTTTATAATTCAACAACTTCAATTATATTGGAGCATTTTTGTTTAATTGGATGGGTTGTGATCCTTAAGGTGAAATTTTAATCGCATCCACTTTACCTCAAGTTGACCTCATGCCCCTTTTACAAAAACGCAAGAAAAAAAATGTTACTTTCTTTAATTTTAAGTTTTGGTTTGGAAGTCGGATCTGATGTTTAATCCATAAATGTATCATAGATTGTGTATCTCATTTTTAACAATAATTTAAGAAAATGCATAGAAATTTTAAGAGGCTTAAAAATATTTCAGAATTTTTAAATATGAAATGAAACTTTTGTTTTGGCCTCTGAAGCAATTTAATTTGTTTTTTATATTTTAATCCGCAACCAAAAGTTCAATTTTTTTTCAATTTGATTTTTAATATTATTAATTATGTAAATGATATGTATGCGTTGTTTTTTATAACGTTTTTAATGCGATCCATATATGGTTGAACGCTTAAAGGTAGTTCTGATAACTTCGGGAGCAATGAAGCGGGATTAAGAAAACCGATTGAGCATTTAATGGCTGAGTTCGGATCATTCGTATAGGTACAGCCTTAAATATTTAATGTATTTTTTTTACAAAGCACATGGCTGAGCATTTGGCGAAGATTTCCTTTTTTGTTTATAAATATTTCCGATTTGTAGCCATAATCTGTGTAATATATGTCTGCTGCCCACAACATCTGCTCCCAGAAGGTTAACTGCCTTTGACCTTTCAGTTTTTCTTAACAGCTACACTTTTCTTTAGCCCTGACGAAACTATACACCCTAGCTCTCAATTAATCGGCAATTAAACTTTAATTTGCACAGATCCAGTCTCTCACATCAGGTTTATACATACAATATAATACACAACGGGGTAGTGTCTCCTTCTCAACCGGCAGGAGAACCTCAAGAAATCGTGCAGAACTTCTATATACATTTTATGCAATCGAGTTGCACTCTGTGATTTTTACAAAAGATACAATGGCATAAACTTGAACTTAAACTCGATTCTGGGAGTAGGGAGTGGGATTTGGGAGAAGGAAGCCTGTTTACTTACTAACTACAGATGCGGACCGCACTCCGTCGTTGAGGCGATGATATATGTAATGCAGCGTTGGCAGACTTTAACGAAAAGCAGCCACAACGAGCCATAAATCAGCACCCACTAACGTTTGGCATTGACAAACTCAATCGTCGTCGCGCTGCCACTTCCACGGACTACAACTCCCGGCCGAGATCCAGGGACGACTCCATGTCCTTCGTGTCTACATGGCGTCTGTGTCAAACATGCGTCAGTGTTTCTGGCAGCTGTGTCATCCGGGTGTTCCGCATCATTCCCGCTACCGCCACGGACACGGCTACTGCCAAAAGCAGTCCCTTGAAGACCAAATCCTGATTAGGTTGCAGCCTGGTCGGAGCGGCCGAGGATCCATAAATGCTGTCGATGCCCTCCGCACTGAGGCTTAAATCGGCTGCGGAAAGAAATTCGTTGTTAATGGGATACCTGGGCCGACGCAGCGGAAATTGGCTAAGTGATTATCAGGTCCAGGCCGAGATTTTGGTTGGGCAGGCAAGTGACTGGCAGGGACTAGTGTGATAAGTCCGTTCAACAACACAGTCCTTGTTCAACTATGTTGGGGCAAAGTCCCTACTAAATACTTGAATTTGTGGCCCTAATTGCCGAAGTAAACAAGGAAAGCTCATATAAAACTTTTCTTTTACAATTCTAATAATTGAATCGAATTATACCAAAGTTATGCGGCCCATCCCCTTGCCTTTTTTCCACGCCATCAAATAAAATAAGGGAGCAGTATGAATACTCCAACTGTTGGCCATGAAATGATTTTATTTGATTGTGGCCAAGTATTTACAAATCATTAAATTGCCATAAAGCCAAGCCGAGCGTGTTTATTGATATACAATTATGCCCTAAGACCTCCGAGAAGCTGGAGTCCTTACCTGTGCCACCTGGCCGGTGCCTGCGCAGAACAGGACCCCAAGCCGCCCTTTTTGTTGAGTTTTTTTTTGTTGCTACGCAAATTAGTGTGAAAATCTGTTAAACAGTGACGGGCTGGGCCGACGGGGCGACTCGACAACTGGTCGAGCAGGGTATCCTTTTTATGGCATTCGTCCTGTCTCAAGTGGCCTGTTAAACTGGACCCAAACCGCAAGGAAAATGCTTGAAATATGGCCCATAACCCTAATCGGCAAGCCGCACTCGCCGCAACCTCTGCCATCATGGCATTTGCCATCCGCTTCTTACCTTTTCTTTTACCGGGATTCTCCATGTCCTCGCCACTGTGCTCCTGGGCCCTGGCCGGATGATACGATTCGGAGCTTTTCGTCCGTTTTTTGCCTGTGCCGGAGAAATGGAATCATTGAGTTTCGGTTAAGTTGGTGGCAAGTTGCGGCACAGAGGCTTAGTATTTATAAGTAACTGCTGAAAAGGATTCTCATTCATTCGAATGCATATTCATAATAAACTTGTCGCAGTTTGTTGAGTTTCAATTTCCACTACCATCTTTCTTACTTTGCACCCCCAAGTCTGGAGGTCTGGAAATCTGGAGGACAGGAGCACTGGAGGTCTGCCGGTCTGGAGGCTGCAATCAACCTTTTTCCACCAAACTCTCGACCGCCGACCTGCCAACATCCACCTGATCCGTGGCGTTGACGATTTGGAACGGATTTGCATGGCGTATGAATTATTTATGTGCTTTTGCTCGTGCTTGCCCCTGCTTTTTTCCTCCAGCTTTATATTTCCCATGATTCCTGCCAAGCCAAGTCGGGAAATACTGAATATTTTTCGCGCATCTTAAATGTATGCCAAGTGGCTATTAAATTTTTCTTTACCCGCACTTTATCTACTCTGCTTGCTCAGGGGTAGCTTGAAAATCTTATTCTGCTTAATTTAAGGGTATTGAACAAAGAAAATAGCTCACCTTTATGTCGCACCTCGAAGTTTTCCACATAATTCACAGCGTTTGGCGGAATTCCTAATTAAAAATCGTTTCAGTTGTGGAACTCAACTTTACTAGGTCCTTATGAAGGAAACTTACTATATAGCTTGATAGTGCCATCGGTGTCGCCTAGAGAGTTCTTTGCCACACATCTGTAGGCCCCGAATTCCGACTGAGACAGAGGATTGATGTGGAGTCGCATTGCATTGCGATAGCCCCCGATTTCCGTAACATTCGCCGTGTACTTCCCACCTGTGAGTCGATAGGTTTGATTTCCGAGTTAATACTTCATTAAAATAATAAACTAATTAATGTTTAATTGAAATTTTGCGTTATTTAATAATTAAATGCATGTCACGCGCACATCGCCGCCGAGTATGTGCTGGCGGACGGGCGGCCTGGCGGACTGCCGGGCTAAAGTTTCAACAATGTTGCTGACAGGCATAAAATTTATGCACGAACGCATGTCACACCGTAGCCGTAGCCGGGGGCTGAGGGGGTTTTCGGGTCGGATCTGGGTATGCTCTCGGTTTGGTTTTTCTGTTGTCAATTAAAATCTGCCAGGCACAAAATTGTAAATTAATTTTATTTCCATTTATGACAACGGATACGAAAACAGTTATCCCAGTCGCTTCTTGCCGAGCTCCGTGCTAAGCCCTCCCCTCTAGGATATCCCTTGCCAGGGCAGCAGTGTGAGGAGGATGTTTGGGGTAAAACCACAGCAGCTTGCTCCGTCTCTGGCGAGTCTCTAAATCAGCTAATTAACAACTTTTTTGGTGTGTCTGCGACTGTCGCGTGCAGTTCCGCACTTAGCGGTCATCAGTTCGTTAGTTGGCGGCGACAAGGACCCCTTGACATGGCTGCGAACTTTATCTCGCAGGACTCGGTAGCCCGACTAATGTGGTGGTCTCGGTTTATGACATTTTAAATGTTTACCCTCTGGATCCAATCTGAATATCTCACCTGGCGGCACTATCTCTCCTCGTTCTCGGGTCCAGTAGTTGATGGACTTGGGATAGGCCTCTGATTCGCACTCGAGAGTAACGCCTTTTCCCTCGACAGCTCCAATTAATTGATTTTGGACAGTGATCATGGGTGGAACTGGCAGATATGTATTAGATATGTAAAGTGCAGGCTTCAGCTAAGTATCTGTTGAATAACTTACAATGCACTACGAGGGTTATCCTTTTGCTCACTGAGGGGGGTACACCATTGGAGGCTATGCAGAGGTAAGCTCCCATATGTTGACGCTTTACATTTGGTATTACCAGGTATGTGCCCTCAATGCTGGGAACTGTAAAGAATTATATACTTCTTACATCTCGAACATAAACTTTAACGTTTATTTTACTATTTCTATATATTATGGCCTATGTTTCCCTGTAAAAGTTAATTTCTTTAAGCCACTTTGTAGCTATTGACTATACAGATACGCTCAACAACCAAGTACCCATATTACCACACAGTTATTACCGCAGTTTTCTATTCTCAATGGTGCAACCGTCTATAAAAGTTCTATGCATAGAAAAAATATTCTAATATGTATACGATGTTGACTTTTATGGAGTTGCTGGCCATTTTGGTGGGTTGGTGGAACAACATCCTGTTCTGATAGCCGAACTGTGCTTTATATTATAAAAATTTCACAGTGCCTGGGCTAAGCCGGCAGCCACACAGACGATGAGGTACACGACGAGAGTGTGATTGTATTTGGGTGGACCGGAAACGGAAATGCTGGCTAGTTTGCACTTGATACTGTTAGGTTAAGTCGCAGGACACAATAATAAGCCGATTTTTCGTATATTGATTTGGCATTTCGACGCGGTCACTACTTTAGACCGGTCGAGTCGCTCATTAGCCTCACTATTCCGCCACTTTTTTGTGCCATTCGGTTTGGCTTACGGTCTGCTATTAAAGCTAATAGCCACGAAAAGCGTGTAATTTCGCTCAGTTTCGTCGTAATATAAAATTTGACTTTTTATGCTGAAAGCCAAGTACACAACAAATAATCAAATGTAGATTGAAATCAAATCTTCAATAATATAAATCAATTGTTAATAATTTACAAAAATTATTTTAAAAGTACTGGTTTTAAAACATAAAAATTTAATTTTAAAAACAACCAAAACATTCTTATTATGTTACTTGATTTTTCACCCAAGTGCAGACACAAATTTTGTAATACCCCTTATTTTCTATAGAATTTTCACATAACCACTCCGTGCACCTATGAAAATGGGAAAATGAAAGGACCTGGACTGGTTGGTGGACAGGAAGCAGACATGTGTGGGGTGCTTGGGGTGGTAGGCATTTAAGCCCCTACGAAAAGGTCATTTGACCAAGTTTTTTGCTCATTTTTTTTGAAAATCCTCTCATTTAGCTGTATGGGTTTTTCTGCTTCTGTTCCTTTTTTTCTCTTTAATTTTGCGGGAACCCTTTTCTAGAGGACCTTTGATTGCAGCTCAGTTTTTATTCTGCATTTTGGCGGTTCGTGTGACTGCCGATTTTTTTGCATTTTCTTCATTAAAAGCAGGGTTTGTTTTGATGGTCAGGGTAGTATTAAATATTACATTTATGGCTTTAAAAAAGGATATATGCATATTGCGATGGTAAGAGTTTATTAAAAAGTGAACAAATTAAAAGCAAGAATTTTTATTTTATCAATATATATAGCTTCTATTTTAGTTATTAAATTTGTTTTAAACGCTGCTTTCTCATTAAAAATTAAGCAACACGTTTGGATTGGAAACATTGAAAATTCAATCTCAGAGCTGTTCTGCGGGGACCAGCTTCAAGGCCAATTAGCAAATCTACTCTGCACCACCAGACACTTATGCATCCCTGTTACCTTTGCCTTCACCTCCACCAGGCTCCATCGGCCCAAACCATTTGCTAATTCTGTCAGTTCGCCATCATCATCATCAAGGACCAAACAGCAGGGAGTACCATTCCAGCATGCTGGCTGGATGGCTGCTTGGCTGGTTGGCCCACTGCAGTCTGCAGTCTGCAGGTACTTTTGGCCACAAACGGGCCCCGTTGCTGGATGGTCACCACCCACCAGGATCTATACATCAACAGGCTTGGGTTGGATTTGTCCCAGAGGCGGGCTATGGGCGTATTTTCTGCCGGCCAGCTCGGGGGCTGCTGCCTTTGTGTTTAAAAGTTCGCCAAAATGTTGGATAGCCTCATACAGGCAGCGGAGTCGACAACAACAGCAGCAAAGGTACTTACAAATCAGCAGAAAGGGGAGAAGAATGGTGATGGCTCTGGTTGGGTGTACTTCTGCTGCACTGAGAGAAATGTCAGAATGAACTAACTCAGTTTTTTTCGAAGTTTTTTTTAAGGTATGTATATATTAATGCCTCATTCCTCACTACTTATCATAACAAGATCATAAAATATTGGATCATCTAAAGAGCACCTAGATTTATTTTAGTGCACAAACTCGTGCGAGTTCCACTTACCTTCCTCTCCGCTGGCCAGCTCGATGGGCACTCCACTTTCACGTCGCCATGTAATTGTCGGCTCTGGTGAACCGGTAGCAGCGCATTTGAGCGTCACGTTACTGCCCTCGCGAACGACCATGTCCGTGCTTGTAGGATAATCTAGGATATCCGGCGGTACTGCAGCCGAGCAACAGCAGCAACAGCAGGAACGGAAGCCATCCGATTGCCATCGAGGTCACCAGACGTTCGTCGTTCGTGGTTGGTAGATAATGTTTTCAACAAATATTTAACAAAAAATATAGCATTGTACATGGAAAGAGAAAGGTGAAAGGGTAGAACGAGAGATGAATGTAAGCTGCAGCCATTTTAAATCATTTAAAATTGTAATTTTTTTTTAAACTAATTTGGCCGGACGGTGGATATGACCAGAGTCCTTTTTTGGGCTATGATTCATACGCCCAAACATATTCCTGGGTCTGCTTTCGACCCCGGTGCGAATTGGGGAATCGTCGTGGCATGTGCCTTTGTTTAAAAGACAAACTTTTCACATGTCCCGAAAAACACAAATTATTACCACGACCGCAGCGGTATGGACGGCAGGACAACGGACGACAGGACACGACGAGTGGACAGCCGACAGAGGACAGGAGACACCCACAACGGAAAACCTGTGAACCATGAAATCGTAATAATGCTGGGCTGGTCTCTGGCCTGTATGCATATAATATCCCACAATTATGTGGTTGGTAAATTACCAAAAAATGTGCTGGTGTTGACAAACAGCTTGTTAAGCTCGCTTGCTCCGCGTGAGTCAGCCTGTGCGCCGACTGGCCACTGCCAACTGGCCACTGGTCACTAGCCACTGGCCAGTGGCCACTGGATGGTCATTAAGTGGCCAAGGTTAGTCTGGGAGCGGGAAAATTGCAGTCCACTAGGTGGGGATCCTGGGATCCATACATTCAGAACTGCGGAAAATCAGGGTGGAGTTCGGTAATTGAAACCCATGGTGTGGGGTCGGTATTAAATCTGGCACACTCCGTTTTTTATACAGCTATTATTCTGCCACACCCAGGCATATATCAATTGTCTTGCCAGTTTTGGAATTGAATCGTCCGGGTCCTGGAACGCTCAAATGCCACATTTAAATGCCAGAACGCCGAACAGACTTCAATGTATGAGGGTCGTCCACTTGGGCGGCCTGAAGTGGCAGCATACGAATCCGAAAAATGGTAAAGCTGTACCGTACCGCTTCCTCTACGGGTTTGTCGTCAACAATTTAACTGCACTCGGTCACGAAAATCATCAGGAGCGACCACCGTCCGCCGGTAGCACTACTGCCCACTATCCAAAAGTTCGCCCTCCTCTGCCGCGACCGGCTCTCGACTCGAATGTATCCCATGGCCGCTTTTCCGCCATCCCTCGATTTCCTGTTTGCTGTATGGAGTACAGTGGTTCGTAAAAGTCTAAAACTAGTTACGAAAATACAAACTTTTAAGACTAATTTTGAACATCAATATTATAGTCGAATATTGAAATAGAGAGGTGGCCAGTCATTCCAAAACCCATTAATGAAATAAAAGCTAAGGTAAGGACCTCAGCTCCAAGCATTATTTAGACATCGAGGGCTCTATAAACACAAAATCTGAAGAGACAAACATAACTCTGTCCACTGTACATTGGTCGCTGATTATCCAGTGCAAATACACCCAGTTGATTATACTTTTTCGTGTTTGCCGGTGAATGCCGCGCCGACTGCAATGGTGGCTAAAATATATAGCGCGTTGATTTAGATTTGCCAGCGAAAGGTATTTAGGCAGTTGAGTGGCATGTGGGATTGGGAAGGGGTCCAGGAAGAGTGCAGGTGGAGCAACCGGAGCAACGGTGGCAATGAGGAACCGGGGACCAGGCACCGGGGAAAAACGGACCGTAAATGGACAACCAAATGTGCCCGCTGACCACTTCCTAGGCCGGGAATTTCTTATGCCGTAGCTTTGGTGCTGCTGTTTTAATTCAAAATCAACAATTTGTGCGGTTCAGTGGACGGTTAAACTTGTTTAAGCCTCCGCTTGGAGAGTCGGCCATGGAGAATCATATTCACAGAGGCTGGTTCTGAAATCCCGGCAGGCAGAATTAATTAAGCCGCGACTCTCTCAACCGATATCCTTAATAATGGCTTTGAGAAACACAGAAGCATGTTTGTTTTTCTTTTTTTTGGTTTTATTTTATGTGGAATTGTAGGAAGTTCAACCTCAAAATCCCAGAACACTACTCACCTACAACGTCTAGGTAGCCCATTTGGCTTTTCATAGGGTCTGTGTTGATTTGGCACATGTACCTAAAATATTTTGTAATAATATTTTTCCAATTGGTTTTAAATTGGTAGTTTGGCTGCTTACCATCCTTTGTCCGATTCTTTGATGTCCCTGATGCGCATTGTCCATGTCTTGTGCTCTGAATTGGCAATTCCGATTCTCTGATTTTTGGTAATAACATGATTTTGTATCGTAAGTATTGTTTGGGTATCGACTCGGAGCCACGCCACCTAGAATATAATTTGAAGTGTAATTATTTTAGTTCACTGAAATACTTATAATATGTTCTGCCTCTATGAACATCCGTTTTAAGCTAATACCTTAACAAGCTGCTGTCGAAAATTATGGAAACCTGCATTGAAATGGCTTGAAACTTGAAACCAGAATGTAAATTGGCTGCAGGGGGCTGTTCTGATTGGAAAGGCTGCCTTTTGTGCTCAACAATCAAATAAAATACCATTATAATAAGCACAGAAAGTATATAATAGCTGGCCGTAATCACATTCCTATGATATCCTTATCTGGCATGCCAGTAACCAGTTGCAGTGCATCAGAGAGCCAAATTGAACATAACTGCCATGCAAAGCTGTTCATTTATGAACAAAAAATGTATTCCCAAAACTATTCATGGAATTTTGTAACACACGCACACACCGCGGAGCACACCTATGGAGGAGCTCGTAATTGTACAATTACCATGGTAAATTATTATGTGATAAAGCACGCAGCTTGTAAGCTAAAAAGCTGAAAACAATGGCCGGGTAGGAGGGCAGGAGGCCAATCCTTTGGCCCGAGCCTCGCATGTGAAAAGGACGAGAGGCAGGAGACCCCATCTCTTCGTTCGTTTCTGGCGACATGTCAACACGTGAAGCTATTTGTGAAATATTAGAATATGCAGCACGTAAATAAATTAAGGCCCGGCTAATTTCCAGCAAATTCAATCGAAGGCTCTGAATTATTCTCCGTTAAATTAAATTTGGTTTGTTTTGGGGTCCCAGCAGGCTGTCAGCATAAAGTAAGTAATTACACCCAAGTGCCTGCTCAATTATCTTTGAGCGGAACATCGCTTAATTGTGCACGGCGACTGGCTGAGGGGCGACCTCGGCAAACCCACTTCCAAATCCTCACAATACCCCTGGATCCGAATGCCAACCCCGTCGGAGTGCTGGGACAAAGCTTTGCACTTCAATGGAGATCTACCTGGCAGTGCCGGCTCTGCTGACTCTGCCTCTGGATACATCTGCTTTGCCCCCAAAAGGGAAAATGGGAAAAAGGAATGCAAATGCAAATACAAATAAAAACACAGACACCCAGAGGTATGGGGGATAAAACTCCACCATCACCACCACGACAGGAGTCGCTTAACACGTCCTCATTCATATTTCAATTACTTTTTATGTGATTTTCGCTTTTGTCATTCGGTAAGCTCGGCATATCCCTATTTATGTTTTTATTTTCACTTTCATTTCCACTTCCATTCCACTTTTGTTTCCCGCTTTTGGGTGTCGAGATTTGGTCTTTGAGATTACCCGGCCCGGTGCTACGGGGATGATGGTTGATGGTGAAATGTTAATGAATATTAATGCGGTCGGTTTCGGTTTTGGTTTTGGTTTTGGTTTTGGTTCTGGTTTTGTGGCTGCTTTTCGAGTGCGTAATTGAGCTCTCAGACCCAAATGGTAGAGAATCCATATAGTCCCCAGCACAGTCCCCCCTGAACAGCATCCTAGCTGATTTTCTGATTTAACGCTTGGTTATTATCGGATTTGTAGGCAGGAGCTCACCTTGTACGGGCCCAGGTCCTGGACGACGCAGGTTAGGAAGGCATCACGTCCCACGGGCGCTGTCATATTTACAATTGGAGAACTAAACTTGGGATCGACTGCAACAAAGGAAAAGGATATTTGGCTTTATTGGTACATAATTGGAATTTGATAGTCTATATGAAGTGATGATTATGATTATGCTATAGAGTGGATTTACTGAAGCTGCATGCTTAACTAAAACTTACCTATTACTTCTGCTGGAACTTCCACTCTCTGTAGATGGCATTGATCACTCATGAGAACCACAATTAGGAGAACGTTTACAGAAAGACTCAAGGCATTGGCCAGATTCAAACGCAGAGTATTTTGTGTATCCATTTTAGAGATTAAAATTAGTTGATTAACTGCTCGATTGTGGCATATAGTGTCCTTTATACATGAGACTAGGAGGCGATTAACGATGTTAACCACTCGTTGCATTAGCTAAGCTGGACCTGCAATACACAGATACAATTGTTCTACACCGACAATGCTCATAATCATAACAAGAATCTGCAACTGCTGGAAAATAAAGAGATGCCGGGCCAGAAAGGCCAGAAAGGGCTGGAGGGGCATAACCGCACCTCGTAATTGGCAGCCATTAGCGCGCCTCTAATGGCATCAACTTCTGGCTATTGCCGCCGCTATTTATGCGTGTAAACAGGCACCAGGGCAAAGTTCAACAAAAAGTACTTGAAAACAGAATCAGAACTTCGGAACAATGGCAAACAATAATCGTGATACCGGTCGAAAATACGCCAAATTAAAAAGTTTCAAGTTTAAAGGCAGACCTCCGGTTCTGTCCGTGGGCATAGGGCACAGTGCTCTGAGCTGTGAGCTGTGAGCTCCGGGCTACGGGCTTTGGGAACTGGTTGGTTGGCTGGTTGGGTGTTTGGTTGGTCGGGTGCCTGGGACTTCCTATCCGGATATTCCTGCCCCATGGAGGCAGACTCAGCATATTTCTTTTGCCAGTTATTTGCCTCGACTCTGGGCTTATTTTGCGTGTTGTGGCTGTGTAAATTGTACAGGCAAACAGCTGCCAGAAATTAACTACGAGCCTGCAACTATCTTTTTGAAAAAGGTGTTGCATGCGCTTCCTTCCCTGTTTCCCACTCTCCTGCCTCTCTGCTCATTTCATTTTATTTCTTGCTTCGGGTTGCACTTGCTTCACGGCATTTAAACGTGGCAAGGGCCGCAGTGTACGTTATATGGAACGGAAATGAAATGTTTCGTGTGTGGACTCGTAAATAAAGCATCAAATCGTGCATCGTTACGAGGACTCTGACGGGTCTAAATACTTGTGCTTCATGCCAAAGTTAAATTCTCTTCTGTTTCTATTAAGCTCTGGACATGTCACTAAAGGTCGTCTATAATGTAGGTTTGATCAGCCGTGGGATATTTCTTCAGCGAACCATAAAAGCGACATTTGAAGAATAAAAAGATCAAGATTATGGCATGGCCTGTCTCATGTATCCTTTGCAGAATATTTTTCCTTTTATTTTTGGCCCAAAAGTGACTTTTTTACTATTGGTCTTGATTAATCATTTCTGCAATAATTAGTCAATAGAGATCTTAAAAAGATTTATAAGATCAGTATACTTCGTTTGAAGTATTAAGTTCTTTAGAGACTTCACCATAATATTGCATGGCTTTATTGCTCCTAGTCTGTAAAAAAAAGAAATTCAAAGTCAACCAGGAAAAAAACCTTCCCTATAGATTGAAATTAACATTCCAACTGACCTGACCATGAGTCAGAACATGCAAGCGATAGTTCGTTTGGAAAAGAGGCCTTGCCTCGGGCTTCTGACTTCTGGCGCCCACAAACTGACAGCAACAATTTTAAAATGACATTTCATTAAAATTTTTCCCCCCTGCACTACTACTTTCTGCTGGTTTCTATTGATTTTTTTTATAATTTAGCGCAATTGAAAGCAAAGTTACCGGCATGTGTTGTGTTGTCTTTGTCAGGCAGGGCGGGCGCACGGGCATCCAAATTCACATGACATGCCCAGAAAAGTAGACTACAAAAGACAGGCGACAGCGTTGCAAATAGCTCACAGGACTTGGGAGTCATGGCGGAGGAGTGCGGAGGGGACGACCAGGTGTAGGCAGTAAAAATGTCTAGCAAATGGGCATGGCAATATTATTAATAATTTAGAGCATGCGGGCTACGTCACGAGCTGGAGACAAGGACTGGTGATGGCTTTGACTTTCTACCTACAGCCCGACGCCGGACCACACAACGAAGCCATAACAAAGCAGGTTGCTATCAAAAGTCCTTGTTTACATAACTAATTGTACTGGTTTCTTTTCCGTATTTTGTTATTGGTCATTAAGGGTCAAAGGAGTCATGTTATTTATGACTTTTGTTGTATGTTTTTAAAAATAACTGAAATACTCGTATGTGAGCTTTAAATATCCTCATGAAAACCTGTCAAATGGGGTACTTTTTTAATAGGAATTAATTTTTTTTAGTGGGATTTCCAGGGAATACAGTTCTTGACTAAAAAATACCGATTAAGGATTTCACTTGAAGGATTTGATAAAGGTTGATAGATAATTGATGCAAAAATAGTTAATAGTATTTGGTTTAAGCATCGGTTGTATATTTTCGAGACATTTATGTCTGGTGGCCATTACAAACATTTGAAGAGGATCGTGTTTAATTTTTTTTTTCTTGGTAAAGAACGAATCCTCCGATCTAAAAACGATAGGTAAGTGTTTGATTTCTTGTCAAATAATTAAATGAGTAACGTCGATTATTCTTGTACAATTTTTTTTGTGAAGATCTATACAAATTAGATCTAAATATAATTAATAGGGACTCCATTTATGAATCGGACTAAAATTTATAGAGATATAGTCTTCGCCGTAGGTCGTATTTGACTCCTATGTGTTCTTTTGAAACATATTTGAAGTGGACCCACCAAAAAAAGTATCAAAATACAGAAAATTTATTTTTCTAGATTTTTACGCATATTGATGAAAAATTTCTTTGGCTCTATTGAGTGCTTCAAGAGCTTGTTTCACCTGCGTATTATAAAGTTAGGCTTCAAGAGATTACTCATTTGCAACATAATTCATTACTTTTCTTGTTGGAAAGATCACTTGAAACACTTTCTTTACAATTCTACTCATATTGTGTATAATGGACTGACTGAACGTTATTGAATATCTATTGAAGAGATCGAATTATAATTCGTAACGATGCCTAACGAATTTGTGGATTTTATAAAGCGTCAAAGCTACATACAAGTCTTTAAAAATATTTTGGGAATAAAGGAATTTATGTTGTAAATAAATAAGGCTTGAAATGATGCTCTGTGTGATAGGTAAATAAATTATATATTTTAAAATTATCTAATTGCACCATAACAATACAATATTTTCTTTATTGCTCAAATGGGAATATTTATGATGTTGATACGACTCTGATGCGTAAAATATTTCTTGTATGAAAATGACTTTGGTGTTCACAGCTAAGGCGAGAACAAATCCGTGGATAATCTTACAATTATCAAGCTAAAACTATCAGGAATATATTTTCACGCCCTATGATGTTTGCGGTGAAAGTAATTTTACACTCGGAAAATTTAGCATTTTATCTCGAATCAAGACTTATTTTAATCGGGCTTCAGGGCAAAAGCAAAGCCCCTGCATCACATTAGCATACTTTAAGTTCTCGACTTGGCGGCCCCTTCAGTTATGCAAAGTGCGGCCAGTGTTTCTTATTTCTTATTTTGGTTGGCTTCCTTTCACTTAACCCCTTCTGCCGCCCGGAAGTCGATTATTATCGCTTGTTATTAACAACAGGAACACAAGTGGTAGGTGATGTTGGCACTAACATGTCGGCTATTGTGTCAGATTGTCGAGGGGGCCGAAAGCATTTCCGAATTGCCTGAAATTCTAAGGCTCTTTGGATTCGATTCATGTGCCAGTGCATCTATTTATGTTGATATTCCGGACAGAAAGCGAGTCCAGCCCGGCGGACAATGCCTGACTTTGAAATCAACTTAGTTGCAAAATGCACTTTATGGCATCAATATGTGTGTGTGTCCCCTACAAATTCGGATTTGTACCTGCTGCAATCACAAACAAAGAGATAATAACAAAAACTGATCAAAAACTGTATGTAAAATGCAAATAATCGAGAAATGACATAAATTGAAAACATGCGAAAGGCGAGCAGCTACCAGCCGCTGGCACCCTCGGTACCCCTGGGAAAATGGGCGGATATTATTATGTCCAAACACCCCCAATTTCCCCAAAATTCCCGCAACATAGTCACAACAATTGCAAGGCAGACAAATATCGGATTTACATGGGAATGACCGTCTGGCGGGCGCTGTCTGTTTTCTCTGCGCTTTATGGATATCAATGAACTTTAAATTACAGCCGGGCAGCCGTGAAACATAAAATATGCAATTGTTGACTGGCCTAAAACCCATAGAGTGCACCGCTCTGGGCTCTGGCCCTCACACAGCCCTCGTTTTGGCAATAAACAGAGTCGAGTACTCGTCCAGACACATTTGTGTGGTTGGCCATTTCCAGGACGACATCATGCACGCATCGGCCAGGACATGAGGCAGGAGGAAGTCATGTGACGAACATTGACCGCCGAAAAATCGGACTCATCGGTCGGTGGTTGTTGCTTCATAAATAACACGGCTATTGTTTTTACTTTAAATATAATTACAATAAACACGCAGCCGAGGGCAAATGTTGCCGCCTTGGCACGCGAGGGAAACAAACTTGTTGTTGAAATGCCAAAAATGTTCTCATATTAATGCCTCCTCACGTGGCTATGAAATCAAAACAAAAGGTTAAAAAAAAACTATAAAATTGCAAGGGTTTCTAGGGCGATATTGGAGGTCTAGACTCTAGAGGATCAAATAGGACTAAATCGGTGCTTGGGTTCTTATAATAATCACTCTTAATAATTACATAGCTTTAGAGATCTAAGATCCTTTCGGGATGATCTCTCTTATTTCGTTTATTAAGTTAGTTATTAAATTAAGTTTACTATCTTTTATATTCCAGCAGTACATATTCTTTTGTTTTTAAAAACAAACTTTATTTTTTCTAAACACACCACACACTCATGGCTTAAGAACTGCAACAAGAACATGCAACTATCCACTAGCAAGACGAATGCAACACTTGGCGGCAAAAACAGCGCGCGACACAGGACACTCTGAGGAGCAGAAAGGAGCGCACAACCGTACGGCACGAAAGCTGTCGGAGGACTGAAGGATAACGATGTGAACAGAATCGTGCGAGGCGACGCCACACGAGGCCCGAGCGCCAACGAAGATGCTCTGTGGGGCGAATCGTCGGCGTTCTTGTCGAGAGGGGGGCGGCGGGGCGAGTGCCTGTGTGGGGGTGGGTGGGCCACTGG